TCTAGACTCCCCACCATCTCTTTCCCCATTTTGTGCGATGAAGAAGCCAGAACCTCCTCCCTGCTCCCTCCCAGGCCCTGCCCCTGGTCTCCTGGTCGAGGCGCCTGGAGTTGCAGGGGGAGCTGACGGAGTTAGGGTGCCGGAGAGGGGGCATGCTCTTCACCTCGCGCCCCCGCTTCACTCCCCTCTGCCTGCTGCTCTTTAGTGACCTGCTGCTCATCACGCAGCCTAAGAGGTGGGTCCCAGGGAGGGTGGGAGGCCAGGCAGGGGTGGGGAGGACGAGTCTGCTCTCCTTCTGAACTTCCTCTCCCCTGGGCAGTGGGCAGCGGCTACAGGTGCTGGACTATGCCCATCGCTCCCTGGTCCAGGCCCAGCAGGTTCCGGACCCATCTGGACCCCCGACGTTCCGCCTCTCCCTTCTCAGCAACCACCAGGGCCGCCCCACCCAACGGCTACTCCAGGCTTCCTCCCTGTGAGTTGTGTCTCCTAAAGGGGCCTTGACCTGACCTCTCAGAGCCTACCACCTCCTCCCCAATCTCTCTCCTCTGTGGCCCCTGCCTAATCCCCGGTAGGATCTCCTGGGCCAATTGGGACCCTCCCTTGTCCCACCAGATCAGACATGCAGCGCTGGCTGGGAGCCTTCCCCACCCCCGGCCCCCTTCCCTGCTCCCCAGACACCATCTATGAGGACTGTGGTGAGTAACCCTTAGAGGGAGAAGGAAGGAAAAGTGAATCTCAAGGGGAAATATGGGGGAGAAGCTAAATATAGTCTTGATCCTGCTGTAATGTCACCCAACCCCAACCAGAATGTTCCCAGGATCTGTGTTCAGAGCCTTCGACACCAGCCAAGACTGAGGGACAGAGTCTGGAGTCCAGGGCTCCCCCCAAGCACCTACACAAGAGCCCTGAAGGTGAGAGTCTTTTATTTCTTCATTCAGTAAATATAAAGAACCTGGGAGGGGCCGCTCTCTGTTCTAGGTGCTGTGAACCAAACACACAGCGTTCTAGTGGAGGAGAAACAATAAAGAACAAACAAGATAAAAAATAAATTGCATATAGTGCGTCTGAAGGTGATGAGTCTATGGCAGGGGTGGGCAAACTTTTTGACTCGAGGGCCACAATGGGTTCTTAAACTGGACCGGAGGGCCGGAACAAAAGCATGGATGGAGTGTTTGTGTGAACTAATATAAATTCAAAGTAAACATCATTACATAAAAGGGTACGGTCTTTTTTTTTTTAGTTTTATTCATTTCAAACGGGCTGTAGTTTGCCCACGGCTGGACTAGAGTCATCGGAAGGCACTGTGGTTGGTGTGTTTAGGAGACAGTAAGGAGGCAAGTGTGGCTAGAGGGAGCGAGAAGAAGGGAGAGAAGCAGATGAGGTCATAGAGATAACAGGGAGCAGATCCTGTGGGTCCTCAGAGATCCCTGCAAGGATTCGGGCTTCCACTCTGAGTGGGATGAGCAGCCACTGCAGGGCTTGACAAAGGAGTGCCCCTGACCCTCTTTGGGGATATTGTCACCTCCAGTGGCTTTTCTACCAATGCTCCCGTTCTCACCATGACCCTCAGACACTAGACCCCATGGTGCCTCCTTTCCCTCCTGACCTGCCCCTTTCCCTGGCTCCAATGGGGCCCCCTTCTCTCTTTCTACAGGCTGGCTGAAGGGCCTTCCTGGGGCCTTCCCTGCCCAACTGGTATGTGAAGTCACAGGGGAACATGAAAGGAGGAGGCACCTTCGCCAGCACCAGAGGCTCCTGGAGGCTGCTGGACCATCTTCAGGAAACCCCAGTGCCCCCCAATCCTAATGCATGCTGGGGAGGGGGCACAGGCGGGGACAGCTGGCAGCGTGGCGCAGAGAGGACAAAGCTCATCTATCTATTGGATTCGCTGTCAGTGGAAATACTACCTCTAGTGGCAACCAATAGGGACCAAGCTTCAGGACAAGGCAGCCAATGAAAACAGGATGGTCAGAGCCCAGGCAGTGAGGGAGAACGAGGCTGGTTTGAGTGTGTGGCCAATGGAGACAGAGGCTTAGTGCAGAGCGGCTGATCTGGACCCAAGAGATCAGTAGCGACTCTCTTTGGTTCTATAGCAACAGCCAGTCCTGCCCTTTGAATCGAAGAAGTATTAGATTTCATTCTCAGGGTGTTTCCTATGTCCTCTCAAGCCAGGTTTTCTCTTCTAGAAGAATCCAGTGTGTGTTTCTCGGAGAGTGTGTGTGTGTGTGTGTGTGTGTATCTGTGAGTGTGGTAGGTGTATGATCCTGCCTTCTCCCAGATGATTGACTGCCCCAGTTCTTCCCTCAGCCCCCATTTTAACTATTACTCTCTCTGAGAAAGACCACAGGCCTGAGTGCCAGAGGAGAATGAGCTGGGTGTGGCTTGGCAGCCAGAGGCCAGAGCTGGGTTGAGAGCCCTGAGATCTGGGACTCTTGGAGGCCAGAGTCCCATGACAATTGGAGGGTGATGTTACGGAGCAGACAAGCAGCCTGGCAGAGGAGCCCAAGGGACTTCTGAAGACGGCCAGTAGCTGGGGCCCGAGGGCCCCTGAAGCCCACAAGCCCTTCTCCTTGCCCCAAAGCTTGGCGTCTGTAATCTTTGCTGGGAAAGCACCCAACTGAACTATAATCAGCGTCCAGCCTTGGCCTTGGACCCAAGAAGCAGAAGAAACGGAAGCTGTGGATCATGGGCCAGCTGGTGAGCCGCTGGTCCTTCCTGCCTTCATCCTGGTCCTCTCACAGAGACGTGGGGCCAAGCCGTGGGCAGAGAATGGAGAGGGTCTGCTTCTGGATGAGAAGTGGCCCCCATGTGATGCCACAAGGAGCTGAGGGATGGACAGAGTGGAGCAGACAGTTGCCGGCGAGTGGGGCCCAGGTCTAGCACAAGGCCTTCTCTGAGCTAGGCCATCACCCCTTCCCTTCACTCGTGCACAGAAACTTGCCCAGGACAGAAACTGCCGCGCTGACCACAGGAGGCGCAGGGACTCTCGGAGACTCAGAGGGAGACGGGCACTGGCATTGGCGTGTCTGTGACTTTGGAGATTCACCGAGCGCTGTGCCTGGCATATGAGAAACCTGCAATAAATGTTGGTGGAGCTGTATTGAGGCTCTTTGGGGGACTGTGTGCTTAAAGGAGCAGTGGTTTCCCGATGTGGCTTTATAAGGGGGTGAGGCTGGCTGGAAAGGGATTCTTCCAGAGCAGAGGTCAGTTCTGCTGGGAACCGGGCTTGGAGACTAGGCTCAAGGCTCCAGCGTGTCAGCCCACTCCTCCCTGCCCAGGGATCCAAGGCTGCGGTGGTGGTGGATTTGCAGATGCTGGGGTGGAAGGCTCCTGCAGGTGGGGGGAGACCATAGGGCAGCGCCAGGGCTCCAGCAGGGGATGAAGATGCAGGGAGCAGGACAAAGAGGACAGTCAGCAATAAAGGTCTTTCCTGAGCAGCCAGGCATCGCTGTGTTTAATTCAATCAATTCTACGCCTGTTTCCTGAATGCCTTCCATGTGCCAGGCATTGTTCCAAGACCTGGGGATACGGAGATGAAAACACAAGGGCCTTGTCCTCAAGGAGGACATTCTGGGTTTGGGGCCAGGTGGAAAGAACAATTTCCAATTGTGAACAGTTTAATAAGCAAGATAAAACCAGGCAGCAGCTATGGGGAAAATACAGCAAGGGCTGTGATATAGAATACCCCGTGTGCATGTGTGTGTGTGTGTGGGGGGGGGCGGGGGGACTTTGGGGAAGATCCTGGAGGTAACATTTGAGCTGAGACCCAAATGACAAGAAGGAAGCAGCCCTGGGAAGATCTGTGCAAAGAGCATCAAAGGGACTCAAGTCCAGGAAATGAAGGTAGTGGTCGTGGGGAGGTGCACCTGCTCCTTCAAGTTTCCTGGTTGGGGAGCCTCTCTCCACCAAACTCCCTCTCTCTCGGAGATACTCAGAGGAACAGACAGACAGACAGACAGATATCGGAGGCTCACACAAAGCCACACATATGACCGATCTGTGGTACTTCCTAGCTCCTCAACCCCTCCCTGAGCCCTGCCTTGAGGAAGCTCCCAGGCCCCACTTCAGGTGTCCTAGTAATGGGGTAATTAGAAGACAAAGACCAGGTAAGAGTTGTTTGGGGATGTAAAGGCACATAAAATACAACCACATGTTCCAGAAGAGACGGGAAAGAGGGGACTGTCTGTTTCTGTTATCTTAGAGCCCCTTTCCATTTTGGGGTGACAAGTGAGTGTGTGCAGTCCGGGAGGGGTGTGCATTCGGCAGGCCTGTCGGAGAGGGCGAGGGGCATGAAGGACAGCTATGTGGGAGAGGGGTGGATGTGGGGCAGTGAGACCACCATGAATGTGGAGAAAGTGGATGGGCGAAGGGCTGGGGCTGGGGTAAGGAAGACAGAGGGGGAATGATGGGGTAGTACAGGGGGTACCGGGGGCTGTAGGTAACTTGGCGAGTCATGAATTCTCTCCCTCCACCCCCTGCACACCTCCACCAGGTATGTACCTCTCTGTCATACACCTGTTCTACTCCTGCTGGCCCAGCACCCTCTCCATCCTGTGGTGCTCCTCACCCTTCCTGCCCCTCTGAGTCACCTTCTGCAGCTTCCTCGCAGGTGTGGGAGGAGGGTTCATGGGAGAAGCGTTCATGGGAGACGTCTCCCAGTGCTGCCCCGTCTGGTGTTCCAGGCATGGTGGTGGGGGTGGCAGGGGTCAGTACCAATGTTCCAGGTGGTAGAGAGGTTCATTGACCCATTTGGGGGATCCTGAAGCTGCCATCACTCCATGCCTTCACATTCTATCATGCTGGGGAGGTGGAAGAAACTCATATTTTCATAGGCTCCGGGAAGGCACAGCTGTGTATGGGGGGGGTGGGAAGCCGGGCCCCATTGGGAGTCTCTCTCTCTCTCTCTCTCTCTCTCTCTCTCTCTCGTCAGAATGTGCTCTCTCCATCCCACAGTCCTGCTCCTCATATCTGTGGCCTCCATATATGGGGATTCAGTGATAATGCAGATAGGACAGGGCGCTGACCTCTCTTTGCACTGGCCCTTCTACGGCCTCTGGGTCCGCATCGTTGTGGCCATTATGACCGGTGAGCCGAGGCGGGTCGCAATCGTGACCACAAGCAACAGGCGATGGGAGCCCCCTTTCCCTGCAGCCTGCTCGCTAGCCCTCCGCCATCTCCTGAATCTATTCTAGCCCCACAGACCCTCCAGCCCACTTGCTGAGATCCTTCCCAGCCCTGCAGCCTGGTTCTGTCCGTTCCCGAAAGCTCCTCTCTCTCTCCTCCCTCCTTCCTCGCAGGACTCGCCTCTCTCTTCAGCTACCGGGGTATCTGCTGGTTCCCGCTTTCGGGTTGGCCAGTCACCAGGCAGGCAGACCGCCCGGTGCAGGAGTACGTCTCCTCCGACAGTCCCTCCACCGGCCGGACAAACCCCGGAGGCCGCCCGACCTGACTCCCCAGCACGCCCTCTGCAAACCAGCGGCTCTCCACCCTCCAGCGGCCCGAGAAAGTCTCGGTCCGGAGCAACGGGAGCTACGGGAGCAAAGGGAGACAACTCCCCGAGGTCCCCTTCGGTTCTAACCTGGACGCCCCTTGTGGCCCCGCCTCCTGGCTTGGCCCCGCCTCCAGACCAGGCCCC